TACATATACATATACATATGTATGTGAATGCATATGTCGGAACCCTCCCCACTCTCGCCTGAGCTGCAGCGACGAGCCTGGCCATCCTCGTGTACGTACGCAATCGGTTCAGTGGGTCGTCTCTTGGCTGTCTAGGGTTTAGGGTTTGGGGCCTTGGGGTTTGGGGTTTGGGGTTTAGGGTTTAGGGTTTCGGGTTTCGGGTTTGGGGTTTGAGGATTTGGAGTTTCGGGGGCTGAGGGCGTGGATGACGTAACCAGACAGAGTCTGACGTGGCGAATCTCCCGTTCTCTCCTGAACCACCTTAATCTTCAAAACCCCTTCCGATGAAGAGAAACCCTCAAACCAACTAGAACCCACAAACCCTCCAGCTTCCCTACTGCCCAAATCCCCTTCACTGCGACCGCTGGGCCGTAGCCACCCAAACCCATGAGACAATCCAGGAGAGACTTCTTGGACGCTGCGGGAGAGAACGCAGAGAGGGCCAACCCCCCGGCGCCCTCACCTCGAGGAGTCGCTCCACCAGCCACTCCTGGGGCGGAGTGGAGGTTTAGGGTTTAGGGGGTTCAAACAGACTTTCCGGGTTTCTTCGGTTTTGGGATGCTTAGGAACTGCCCATATCGACTTGCACTCCTGCTTACAAGGATGAAATGCTCTCTGCAGCTCCTAACACTCAACCTTAAGAATTACTCAGCCCTGAACCCATAAAGCCTGTACAATCCCCAAAGACCTACTCCGCCAGTCCCTCATCCCTATGGTATCCGTGGCCGAGCTCCTTGAGGCAGTGGAACTCTCCGAAGCAACGATCTGCCTCAGATTCTCAAATGCTGCAACAGCAAGACGAAACCTTTAAGGGCACTTGGCATCGACGACCTCCACTGATCAGAAGCCGAACACCGACACACCGACCGGGACACCCTTCCTGACTGAGGACGAGGAACCAAGCGACAGCCACATCTACGTGGATTCGAACAATGCAACAGATGGAGGAAATGCGTCCGCATCCGCCACGAGCATGTCATCTCACCAAGGTACGCGAAGACCTGACGCGTCAGCATCATGCGCATCATCTGCGCAGCACTTTGCCCAGCACCAGAACCGCATCAGAATCGCAAGCATCCGCTAGGCAGCCCTTTCGCCGGCATCCGTCGCAGGTCACCAGAACATCCAGAACCCGGCCAGGGTCGCATCATGCGCATCCATCAGCTGGGCAGCGTGTTAGCCGGCACCTGCCCCACAGTTCAGAACGACATCCATCATCCGGACAGCACTTTTGCCGGCACCCTCCACCTGCTAGCATCACGAGCATCGACTGGGCAGCGATTGTTGCGGCAGACGCATGGCATCGCTTGAGGCAGAACCTGCCACAGGTTAGCATCATGCATGTCAACTGGGCATAATGCTGACCTGTGGGTGCTCCAATTAGACCCGAACCAGAATGCTTCGATGGCATTACAGCAATGGCTTGGCCGACGGTGGCGAAAGTCCAGTTGGCAGAGATCTCCAAGTAAGTGAACATAGCAAGAACCAAGAACAGAAGCGTCGAGGAGTAAACCGATGAGAATCCATACCAACACCGAGTCTGGCGCAGTGGTCTTCACATATCAAGTTGCGGGAAAGCTGAGGACACGACCCAGCCTGCGCTGCAAGACGGCATCAGGGCATCGTAGTTGCCGGACTCAGTGGTTTCAAGGCCCCGGAGATTATGCGCGAAACCACCTCGAACTCCTAATTCGCAAGTCCATCCCGGAAATGCTTTGATCCTCCTATTGCCGACTTGCGGTTCGAATAGAATCTGCCGCCTCCAACATGAAGTCAATTTTGGTCGTCTGTAGGCTTTGGAGCTGAAAGGTTGTGAGCCTGAGACGTT